CACTGCCAGCTGCTCCAGCAAAGGTTGCGCTTGGCATGAGGTGGAATCTGCTGATACTAATCGAAAGGCACTTGGACTACGCGGAGTTGAAAGTTTATACTTGAAATTGTTAGGATAACATTCAACACCCTGATGATGAAAGAACAATAAAAACAGCATCACATTTTTGTACTTTTACTTGCTTCTGTTGCGGCCTGCCACTGTGTTGCATTCATTCATTTGCTTGTTACTGTGCAGCGACATTAAGTAGCGCATTATGCTCAGTGAATGGGCGCGGTCACGCTCTTGGCCACATAAATCACTTGCAGGCAGAGCGAGGAACAACGAACACCGAACGCCGAACGGCAAACGGCAAACAACGAAAAGCAAAAGCGCTTCTTTGTTGCATCAAATTTGCATAACTTTCCACTGTTGCTGCGGCACTCGCACAGTTTTGCATTTAAAACTTGAGCAACTTTTATAGCATTTGCTAACTTTATGGAAAGGCAAGACAACGCCAGCAGAGAGTGTGCAGGAGGGAGCATGAATCCCTTTGCGGCTGACAGGCAACAAATGTTTGCGGAAATCTGTGGAAATCTAGGGGAAATCTGGGGAAATGCACTTGCCATTAAGCAAGGCAAAGCAAGGGGAGTGCGAGTTTAATTCAAATTGTGGCACCCGTTTTTATTGGCGAACTTCAATAAATTACACCGCCATTAATCCTGCAAGGACGTCGAAGTCCTCGCAGTCGAGAGTCGAGAGTCGAGAGACGTGACGGAAGCCAGCGATTCCACACCACACAATCGACTTCAATTTCCATGTGAACTTGTTTGTTTGTTTGCATTTTCAATTTCCCCCCAACGCAAGGGGCGTGGCTGAGTGGTTTGGGGCTGTCTCTCCTGCCGGGTAAACAATTTCCAACACCAAAACGAATCTCGCAAATTGATAATCATCAGCATGTGGATTGGTTTCGGTTCGTCCATGTCAATGGAGTGCTGGGATGGCGAAAAAGCGGATCAAATTCACGCGAAATCTCTTCCTTTGAGCAGGACTCTTCCTGACTGACAAATTGAGTGTGCCACGGGATGGCTGCCCGCCTTGGCTGGAGCTGAATAATTAAAGCTATTCCGTGATGGAAGCGATAGCTCTCTGGCGAAACAAAGCAGCGGAAAAGCGCATTAAAATTAATTATGCTTTTCCCCCATTCATTGCAACAGCAACAGCAACAGAAACAGAAACAGAAACAGCAGCGAAAAAGCGAAACATTTTGTGCTCATCTCTTTCGAAAGAGTTTTTTTTTTCAATCGCTTTTTATCTATTGTTGTGACAGGCACAACTGTTGCAAATGAAATTCATAAATATGAAAGCTATGCTCGGAGCGTTTGAAATAAATTCAATTAGAGCCGACGGGGAAGCGGTATCCGGGACGTCAGGTTCATGAAGTTAAGCCATCAGCAGGGCAGCGAAATGGCGGCTGAAATAGTCGGCAATTAATGAAGGGACGTGTGCCGGCATTAGCCTTAACTACCACAAATGTCGTCGCACCATGCACGACTTGATCAAGAAATAGAAGCGGAAATAACTACTCATTAAGCGCGATGGCCACGTAAACTGCCAACAGTCCGTTGGGAGCTTGGAGCTGGTCAACTGCAAGTTGCACCAAACTATGTGGAGAATGGGACCGAGACTGGGACTAAGACTCTGTCAGTGTGGTAATAGAAATCATTACAATAAAACCAAATGGGCCCGAAGCAACAGCCAAACGAGGCAATGGCCAAGGAAAGAAAGTCATTTGGCTGCCTCCGGAGCTGGCTTCCTCGAAGAAGAAGCTGCCCCAAAACGAGCGCAGACAAATGGCAGACACGTAGCGGAGGCCAAGGCAGACAATCAAAATCCATTTGAGTCGGAAATGAGCAAAATACACAATGGAGTTGGAGTTGGAGTTGGAGCCTGGCAGGCACCTCACTCTTGGCTCCTCCATCCAGCCGCGAGCTGCAGCCATAACTTCACATAAGGCGACGCATTTTTGTGGCCAAGGCTGTGGATTTTTTGGAGGCGCCTCCAGGGGCTTTAAAATAATTACGATACACAAAGGAAGAGGGAGAGAGAGAGCAAGGACACGATGAACGCTTCATCGCCTTCTTATTCGACTTGCTTCGCTGGCTTTTACTCCCTTAAGCTTTTGAGCGCATTCCTCAGCTTCTTCGGCATGCAAGTAAAATATGTTTTGATATTAAATTATTGTCGGCACGCCCCAGCTGCCACCACACAAACACACACACACACACACATTATATGGGGCACGTGCAGTTCGGGACGCATAATAATTGCCGGTTGATAGCCCAGGACATCCCTCCCTGCTGGATGGGTTGCTCTGCGTATCCTTTCTGCTGACGCTCTCCGTCGCCCTGCCTATCCTCAAGGCCACAGGACGAAGCTCTTCTAAAGACGAAGCTGGAGCTGGAGCTAGGACTGGGGACTGGAGCTGTGTGGGGCTTGCGCACAAACTGAATTCCGAAAAATGGAATTTTTATTGCAAATTGCGAAATTTTAACTAAAAAACACAACGCTCGGCCCTGGCCCGCTGCTCTGGTCGTCGCTTCTCTTCATTGTGTAGGGCCAAATGGCGAGCAAAACATTTTCAGTGTCACTGTGTGGCAGTGGCAGTGGCAGTGTGGCACTGTGGCAATGTTGTGGAAGGAATTGCTTCTCGTGCCATTGTAATCAATAATATCTGCCACTTACCCCATGGATGGATGGATGGATGGATGGATGGAGGGAGAGCCAGTTATGCCGATTCCGAGTCTCCGTGCTGGACAGATCAAAGCTGAAATTTGAATAATTTATCGGGGTCTTGCGGCGAAAAGCGCCTTAAAGGTAATAAACAAAACTCTTTTCTCTCCTTTCTCTCTGTTTATGAAACGCTCTGCTGGACAGAGAGAAAAAGCACAGGAAGCAAATCATTGAAATTTTTCATTTCCTCAATTTAAGGATGGAAACTGTCTGTGAAAAATCTCAAAGCGTATGCAAAAGGATTCAACAAATAATTCCATTCCTCAGCAGTGCAAAGAAATAGAAATGGAACTGGGAATGGGAATGGGAATGGGGAAGGTGCAGCTGCGAAAAGGTGAAATATATGCAAAGAATATCCACAAAATGCGAGACGGGCGAGAGACCGAACCCCCGCAATGCTCTTCACTCAATTTTCAACTACTAAATCGTTCTCCTCCCTCTCACTCCCTCTCGCTATCTCGCTCTGTAATCTCTCCATTTCTTTCAGCTCGGTTCCCGTTCTTTGGCACGTTCAAGTGCAGCCATTAAATAACTTTTGCCTGAGTGCGTCCAAAAATGTTGCGGGAATTAAAGGCGACAAATCACCAAATCGCCAAATTGGTCAACCAAAGTGGGGCAAAGGCACCCGAGAACGTGGCCAAGAGGCGGAACTCGATGGGCGTTCAATTTTTATTCGAGTATTTTGTGTGTGTGTGTTTTTATGCGTTCCCGATTGATTAGACGCTGCTGCTCCCGATTTGCGATATTGATTGAGTGGCGCAGATACATCACGCACACGCCCGATTGCCCCTCGACATATCTTCTGATTCAGTGCCACTGGCTGCTGCTGCTCCTCCACTCCCCTGCCATCAGCTCTTCCACTTGGCTGCGTTTTGTATACCTGAAACCGATTTAAGAGACTAAGACTTCCGTTTTGTGTTCACAGAATATCCTCTTTGTGTTTTAGTCTTCCGTTTGCTGTAATTTCGTTGAAGGAAGAGTTCCTTTTTGGCACAAATTGATGCGTTTCCTTGTGCATCACCCAAACGGCACGTGGACACGTGTTATGTGTAAATCTTGTGGCCAGGTTCCTTCCAATTTTGAGCGACTGGTTTGACCAGTGGAATACTAAAACATTCATTAGTCCCTCCGCTCGCGTGGATTTTTGCATTTGTCAATTGGGAATTCTTCAGCGTTCCCCTTTCCCTCTGGAAGATGGCAAATGGAGGCTGCTTGAGGCTGATTGTGGGACATGCGACACCATCGACAGCATTATTCTCTTTGATGCGTCAGCCAGTCCAAAGTATATTTTTTTCTAATTTTCTCCCGACGAACCCAATACGCTTGATGACCGGCGAAGGGGCAAAAAACGTTCCAAGACGCTGTGGAACTTCTTTTATGCACGCAGCGCATTAAATTGAATTTTAAATGAAGATTGATTTTTGCTTTGCTTTCGCTGAAATAGGAGCAACAACACTGAGCGAAATATAAAATGGGAAAATGGGAAAATGGGAAACTGCTGCAAAAGGAGGAAGATGGGGCCGATGCCAGAGCCACTTGCCAAGAAACCAAAAAAGAAATAAAGCAGAAAAACAGACCAACAAAAAAAGAAAGCCATGCCCCAAAACAAATGCTGCCTGCCCATTGTAATTAGAGACAATGGAGGCCGATCCCTTGTGACTCCAGTGTGGCGACCCTTTTGGCCCTTTTTCGTGAGCCGCCGCCTCTTATCTAAATTAATTCAAACGCCCCGAAAGAAACACAAATAATTAAAATTAATTATGTGGAAAATATTCAATAAGTTGGAAATTATGCAAACGAGCAAAAGCAAAGCAAAGCACACAGCGAGAAAAGTAAGTGCCCAAAGATAAAACTAAGTGCAATTTGGGGCCCTGCGACGAGAACGATGGGCCCCGCGAGTATTTCGTTGACCGAAAATATCTCCTCCTACTTAGCACTGATGGACATGCGTTGGACGAGTGGCCAAATGGCCAGATGCATGGATTGTTGGATTGTTTGAATGTTTTGCGTACAGCCCAGACTGTCAAGCGCTCAATGCTCGAAATATTTTTCGAATTTCCCGAAGCATCAGCCGACGCATAACCTGCCCAAGTGTCTGGCGACTGGGCACGAGAACGAACTGTGCGAACAATTTCCGGCATTTCGTATATAGGTGGAAAATGCCCCGACAGTCCCCACAGGCTGCTTCGGTTCGTATCGGATCGGATCGTATTGTATCGACTTGCTTTGGTTCGCTTCGTTAGCCGGCAACGAAAGTAGCGCAAATTACTTAAAAATACCAGAAACGAAAATATTGGAACAGCCGCTGGCCTGGCCTGCTCTGCTCTGCTCTGGCAGTTTCAGTCGATCCACACACGGGAACACCTCTATAGCTGGTCCCTCAGCTGTTGCCGCTTCATTCCGCTTCTGTTGTTCGCCGCGTGAAAAACATGAAATTGAAAATCAATTTGACGTTCCTCTGGGCGACACTCGTCGGCCTCCTGTCCATCATTCTATTGACACAGACCGCGCAAATTGAGGCATCGAGCGCTGGCGCTGATGCGACATGCAAGGAGCTGAGTAAGTACCCGGACAAGCCACAAAACTGTCTCGTAAAACTGCTTAATTAGAGCACTGGACAAAGAATTCGAAATAGCTCGAATGAGTCAGCCGTCAGCCGCCGCATGGTGTCGTAGAAGACAGAGCGCAGCGGCAGGCAGCGGCAGCATAGAGGAAAGATCTGTACAGGCGACACATAAAAACTCTATAAAGTAAAGACTGATTTCGTAATTGTGTTACTTGATAGAACTTGGGATTTGTACATATATTGTACATAATATCCACCTGAATAAGTAGTTGCAGTCTGCTGGCTGGCTCTTGCCAAGTTCTGTCCGCTGCACGTCAGTCAATTCTGTCTATGAAGATGTTCTATTTTCTCGCATATGACAGCCAGTGAATTATGAAATATTCCGTCATTTCAATTGTGCCTTGTGCACATAAACAAAAGGCATTTAATGGCGCCGAACAAGTGCCACTGGAGCGCATCGAGAGACTTTAATGGGCGACCATTTCCCGGAATCAATTAACAATTTCATTCTTCGACTTTCAGACAATGTCAACTGCTATGTGGGCCGCAACGAGGGCAACTTTTGCAACAGCAAGGATCAGACGAAGTCGGTCACCCGATGGTATTACGACAAGGGCATCTGTCGATCCTTCACCTACAAAGGCTGCAACGGCAATCGGAATCGCTTCTGCACCCAGGAGAGCTGCGACGTGCGCTGCGGTGAAGATTGATCAGGAACATTGACCATAGAAGTCCCTACATCACCTTAGCTGATAAGTTTGTATGTTTTAGGCTAAGCATTCAAAGCAAATAGAGATCGGATCGCAGGCAATGCGCTTAAGTGTTTTTACCTTTGATCAAACGGACGCGCGGGTAAATGCCGCTACCAAAAATAGACGCTCAAATGTTGTAAGCTGTCAGCGTTGGATCAGCACTTTGGCCACTGACAGGGCTGTATAGGAAGAGGGGAAAGAGCAGGGAAGCTGAGCCAAAAATGTGCTACCTGTCAGAGGCATATCAAATGGCCGCCTGACATGGCACTGACAGTGTCGCCAAGACTTTGAATTCCACCCATTAATGTCCGTGATGGTGCTGACGTACTCGGGTACTCCCGTGTCCGATGCTGCTGGACAGTGTCAGGGAGCAGCCGGAGAGTGTTGGGCACATCAAAGCGCTGTCAGCATTTGCCCTTCTTTTTGGCAACTATCGACTTACGGCTAATTAAAATGGTCTGCACGAAAATTACATTTGCCTTTTACGATCTACCTGTTGACTGATTCAGTCTGGGCATTAATAGCAGCCCTCGCCGGCATCTGTCGCTTTTGACAGGCTCGTGTTGTGGCCTGGATAGTGGAGAGTGGAGAGTGGAGAAGGGGGCTTGCCTGATTGCTCTGCACAAAACAAATGCCAATCAAATGCAAAACATGACGTGCCATTGATGGCAGCACATTAATCTGTTCTGTTTAAATGGCAGCACTCAGGAGGGGCACAAAGGAACGGAACCAAAGGAAACCCATCCGAGTCATGTGCTAAAACTTCGGTTTCAATGCGGGCAATTTTGGCACGGCCGTCAAATAAAACCAACGAAAAGTGAGTGAAAAACGTGAAACGAAAGGCAAAAACAAAAAACTCAACTGATCAACGCACAATTTTGACAGCATTTGCCGCTCAATGGAAAATTTCGCAAAAACGAACCACCGGCAGGCACACATTTTTTGCTTCGTTTTCGCGCTAGCAATTTGCATGAAATTAGTTTGCTTTTCGGATCTAATTGGAAATTTAAAACGCACGACAAAGGCATGTACGGCCGTTTCCGATCGGGCCAGGCCAATTTGTAGCTAAAATTGAAAAATGGCATTAACTCAGAGCCGAATCATCAACGATTTTTGGCCATAAATGCCGTAGATAAGGCAAAATATATGAAAATATCAACGACATAAAAAGATTGAAGCCCTGAATCTCTGGGCCAGCATCAAGTGCACGTAATTTGATTATTTATCACATTTTTGTACATTTAACGACTCAATTGAGTTTTATGTGACCAAAAGGGAGGCACGAGGTTGGGTCTGATGGGTCTGATGTCTCTGCTGTCTGCTGTCTGTGTTGGGGTTCCATTATGGCCACAGACCGGAAAGCATTTGCTGCTGCAACTCCATAAAACTGACACGCCGTACTTCGAGGTCGATCAAAAAACTTTTTGGCCAGGACGAGAACTTTGACAATGCTCTCAAAAGTATGCTATGTCAAATGTTTTGCTTTCTCTCTCTCGTTCTCCGGCTGGTGCCAGAAATGGAAGCAGGCCAAAGCCATGAACCAAAGGAATTTATAAAACGCAAAAATTGCTTTTGTTTGCTTCCACAAAAAGTACACAAAGCAGGCAGGCTCCCCTATCGCCGCGCCCTAATCTGTCTTTTCTGTGTTCATATAAATTTTGCGTGTTTATTCGAGTGCATTTCCACTGCGACGCACACTGGGCCCACGTTCAGTGGCCATGCAACGCGCACAACACACACAAACACTCGCAGCAGGACTGGCTCCGCCACTAGCTTTGGGGCTTCATTTATGTACTAGATGGTGGAGGGAGGAGCGAGAGTAGTGGGAAATGATCCCATAATGTTGGACCACGACCCGGTTAACCAGACACACACACACCCGCAGCCGATACACACACAGGACACAGGACTTTCTGCTGCTTTAAGCTTTAACTATTTTTCTGTTCAAGTAATTCAGACTTTGAGTTTACTTCTTTGTGGGCAAGTCTTAGTTATGTTTCCGGCTCTCTGAACCTCTTTTTGTGGGAATTTTTTCCAGACTCGCATTGAATTAAAATTCCTTCTCTGGTCCAATAAATAGCGAAAAAGTTACCAATGATATTTATTGCCATCGACTTTAGCAGCGACTTGCGGAAAGTTTTGCTTTCAGCAAATGTTTTCCACTGACTTTACCTTCAAAATTCGCGAAGCGGTTCAGAGATTTGCCAAAGGGGAGGAAAATGGAAAAACTTAAACCCTTTGGCCAATTTAATTTCATTGTTGTTGTTGCCTTTGTATTTTCCACACAAATTGGTTTCTCATTCTGCTTGATTTCATGCACAATCTGCAGACGAGTTCCTTCAGGTGCCACAAACACACACAAACATACACACAGCCACAGCCACACACATACTCATACTCGTACTCGTACGCGTACTCGTGAGAGGGCGTTGTGGCACCTGCTAGGTCTCTCAGGCCACTTGACTGGTTATCTGCACTTGGCCGATCAGCCCACTTACACTTGTTGCCACTTGAGTTTCTGATTCTGATTCTGGTTAAGGGCGTGGTCCCATCCATCCATTCATCCAACCATCCATGCATCCCTCCCCCAAAGGCGCACTTTTATTTATCTAGCCGGAATCGTGAAGTTTCTGTTTTCACACGCCATCAATGTGTCCCTGTGTGTGGTTGTGACAAGGGCAAACAAACAGTCGGGAAGCGTAACTGCAGCTTTCTTAAGGACTATGTCTGTGGCCATGCCCAACCCAAATGCATTGGGATTGTCACTCGTCTTGGCAGAGCTCACACACAGAATCGAGGCATTCGCTGCAGTCGCTGGATTAAAGAGAGCAGTGCACATCCATCCATCCTTGCGAGCAGCTCTCGACAAAATAAATTAAAATATTTACAACACAGAGAGAGAGTGAGCGAGAGGGATGAAAGAGGAGAGCAGCGTGTCGCATATTAAATTAAATATGAACCTACTCCAAATAACATCAACATGCTATTTCTATTTAAATTTCGCCTTGGGGCACATTGCTGCACGTAAAAGATAAAAATATGTATAAGTAGGAGGAGCAAGGGAGAGAGACGGAGAGAGGGAGAAGGTGTACGACGTACGTGTGCAACTTTTGGGGCGTGGCGTGGCAACAAACATATTGCTGACAGTGTTAAGCAACAGCTACGAATACGCATCCACAGATCGAGCCTAGTCAGAGCCAGAGCCAGAGTCAGGCTCTGAGAGATTGAACGAATGAGTGAATGGCTGATGAGGCGTGTGTGTGATCTGCCTGCCTGTGGCTGTGTGATGTTAGTGTCAAGTGTGGGGACATTTTGTAATTCCGCAGGCATATCAAGGACAACGTACTCATAAATACCAAAGCCAAATGCCGCACAGCAGCAGCAACAGCAACAACAACTGCATCCTTGTCTCTGACACTATCTTCCTCTTTGCCTTCAGACACTCGTCCTGCGTCGTCTCGCCCTCTGTTCGCCTTTCTGCCTGTCTTTTTGTATTTGTATGTATGGAATTTTTAACTTCATTATCGAACCCAGCTCCTGCTCCTGCTCCTGCTGCTCCCGTCATTCGTTGTCATTGTCTCTGCTCGCATTGCTCAACATCTTTGAGAGTGCGAGGCCCAGGCATGCTACGGCATGCATACCTAATGCCCAATGATGTGCACACGGCACTCGACACTCGGCACTCGACTCTGCTGCTGGGTCTGCTCCATCATTGTCGCTGCCAGTTGTCAGTCACTTCGAGTGGATTCCCCAGTTCATCCTAGGGTTTGGGCAGATTGTTCTGCTGCTGCTGCTGCTGCTTTGCAAGACATTTAAAAAATCATTAATCTCATTTCTGGACCCAGTCTGGGCATGGGAATGAGACATCCAAAGGCCGACTTCTGTTTCCACTCTATCAAACATTTTCGCCTTTTCCTAATCCAATTGCTTGTAGAATTTTTCACTTTTTCTGTCTCGGCCATAAATTCGTTCGCTGTCCGCCAATGTTTTGTTATTTATTTGACTTTAGCACGTTTTCCTGCGTGGCACTTTCTGCTCCTTCGTCTCTTTTTGCCGCTGAGCGAGCCTTTAAATGAACTGCCACGCCCACAACTGAGAAGGCTCAGCTTTACAGCTGTAGAGCTGTCAGCATTCGAGCGGCACCAAAACTGAAAGAGCACGCGATTTATTATCCTTCACAGCACACCTCTAAGCGAAAGTTTTGCATTGTAAGGGGAAAATATTTCGGGCGGGCACGTTTGCTCAATGGGGAAATGGGATTGAGAAGCCGTACAAGTTCGACCACGAGAATGGGAATTGAATTTATAGCGTCTATTTATTTGTGCGTATGTCAATGCCGAGTGTCGGTGGCGCCTTGCCAAGGATATCAGCCAAAGCGCTCGAGCAACACAGCGTATGAGTGATATTTGTGGGCATGGCTGCGAGTGCTTAAAAGTTAAATTTAATTAATTATGTGCCTCTGGCTGGAAAATTGCGTATTTTGCTCAGGCATCGCTTCGACACTGTATGCAATGATTTATTGAGCCCCACACGAGCCTAGAGACGCGAGTGCTGGAATGCGGGGATGGTGGGGAGGCTTGCTATTTTGTCTGTTATGTGTTGTGTGTTGTGTTACGCTCTTTTCGCTCTTCTTTGTGCAACTTTGACGGGAGCGAGCGAGCGAGTCAAAAGCGCAACATGAGAATTTATTTGGCTCACATTTGTCTTGTCCCGAAACGCTCACTCACATGCACTCCCACTCCCACTGGCACTCCCACTGCTGTTTCCATTACCCCTTACCACATGGGGCATTATTAATAGTTATGGTGGCGCCTGCAATATCCTGTCAAATTAATTTCAATTTAATTAAATTTTTCTACTTCGCAGTCAGCCAGTCATCCAGTCAGTCAGTCAGTCAGCCAGCAAGTCGGCAAAAGCCGGAAAATAAATGAAAATATTCTGTCAAATAAATGTTAAAAAATTGACTCATTGCAAGGCATTCGAAGTCGAATGGTTGTGCTTTTCCCCACCCCCCTCCGCTCCCTCCATCGGCCCTCTCTGCTTCCTGTAAAAGGAATCA